TCGCACCACCTCTGGCACTTGCACCTGCAAACATATTTTTATGTTGACTGTGGCCAAATGAAGAGCCAGAAGAAGAGCTTGGTGGTTTAAAGAAAAAAACAAAGTTGTATTTAGGAGGTTATAACTGCCAAACGTAAAATACAGGTTTTTCACGACAAGTGATTCTCACACACCAACCAAGCCCACTTTAATATGTAACGAAAGCATCACAAATGAGGTTAAGGAAGCCTTCAAAATTTCCAAAAAAATCACTCACACCTTGCATCCATTTCCAAACTCGGATCTTTGTCAACTAAATAACAGACAAAGGTCGTGTGATGCACATATGTTCTTGTCTCCCATTACCTCAAGATGGGACATGCTCATTTAGGAAAAGCAATCGCATTACTCACACAAACCACATCAACCGCATTCAGCGTAATGGTAGAACCGATCCGCGGGTAACAAAGGTTGGGTGGGAACCCTTGACATCAAGGGTTACAAATAAGCGCGTGTACGAGCAAACCTCATAGACAAGGTAAAGCTAACTGCAGCCTTACCAAGAGAAACAACAGCAGTAGTGACGGTTGCACACAACCCACTCAAGAAAATTGGCTTAGACCGAAGCAGCTGACTCGCAGAGCCAATCGCAGGGCACACACAGACAGACAAGCTGAAAGCTGTTATTAGGCCCATGTGCAGTCGTGTCCCGAGGCTATGATGATGAACCAACAGTCAACATCTCACTGTTTGCGTGCTAATTACACTAAGTGCCTGAGGCAGCCCTGTGCCTGCATATATAATCAATGTCAAATCAAATTCTGAACTGACCTCATGTTGTCGTGGCTCAAAAGTGCCTGTAACGTTTTTATAGGTTGATATTGCCTCACTTCTTTTGCGTAAATAACAAGGTAGGAATAACGAGGTAGAGATGAATGAAAACAATGCAACGGTAAATGAAGTGAGCGGGGATAAAAATGTATTTTTATTGTGATTCATTCCGTCCCGTTGCCATGCTTAGCAATGCACGTAGAAGAAAGGGCTTGTTTATTAAGTGTGAGGATGCCACCTTGGAAGCAAGTCTGTGAAATTGCTTCCTTCTGAGATATTCTACAATGTTGCTTTTAAGACTGAGGTGGGACGGACATATCCCATTCAGAACATACGAGTTCCAATCTCAAAAGAGCAACAAAACATCAGATGGACAACTGACGATAAGCTACAATGTGTGTTGATTGTGAAAACAGGCCTGAAAATGTATATTTCATTGCCTAAAGAGTTTTGTTCACTTTTGATATTGCATTCACTAATTATTGTGTCTTCTTCTTTGTGACGTATTCACGACCACTTTAAGGTGTACCCTGCCTCTTTGATGATAACTGTATAATAGAAATAACCAGCAAGACTAGTAACAATCCATCAACAGAGAAAACCTGCGGTATTTTCAGTGCAGTCAGTCGTGACACACACTTAAACACAGTGTGAGCGTCAGGAGAAGGGTTGGACCGTTTTAGCATGGAAAGCTTCCAAGCTTGTAGGAACAGTTTAGGGAATGGCCTGTTATGTTTCAGCAAGACAGCTTGTGCCCTGGTGCACAAAGCAAGAGCCATAAAAGCATGCTTGGATGACTTTAATTTGGAAGAACTTGACTGAACAACCTCATCAAACACCTTTGGGATGAACCAGAGTAGAGATTGTGATCTTGGCCTTCGGTCAGGTCCAACAAAATCAATGACCTCCGACCTCACAAAGGTGCCATGAAACTCCCGCAGAGACACGTGCCAACATTTTGTAAAAAGTCTTCCCGGAAGAGTGGAAGCAATTATGGCTGTAAAGGGGTGGACCAATTCTAGAATAACGAGTATGGAAACGCCATTTACTTCAAATGTACAAGGGGTTATTAGTTTTCTAGAGAGTCCATATGGGTTATCTAATCCATATCATGTAATGTGTTCTATGTTTATACTCGAGTACTTGTTTCTGTGATATACATGACATATCTCAAAGTAAAATGTTGAATTGACCCCCAATTGCTCTATCGATGTAACGCTACATTTTCATTACAGTTGATAAAACTGGAGTCGTAATATTGCAAACTGCATAAGATTCAGTTACGCAGTTGCAAGGGTTTTCTATGCATTTTGAAAAACGGTTGCTGTACCTCCGTGTGTGTGTGTGTGAGTGTGCGTGTGCATGTGTGTGTGTGTGTGTGTGCGCGTGTGTGGCTGCTGGAGGATATTTCTGTCTTGAGTCATAATATAAAACCGAGGCATACTCTTATCACAAGATGTGATATGTTTTATGAAGAAATGCTGCAGGCTGCTCTGGTAGCATACACTCGTATTTTTTAATCAGTGCTCTTTTACTCGAAAGGATTGTTTGTGAACGTGGCGTTGGATTGTGTCGAGGTTTATCTGAGCTAGACTCATCTGTATTCATTGTGAAGCCGAGCTAAATGGGCCTCAGATCTGTTGACAGTCAGATTAGAAGAGTGTTTGTGTGTCCTTGTTTTGCTTCTAGTGTCAATGACAAGAAAATGTGGGATTTATTAGTTTTATAGATTTTTTTTTTCTTTTTCCTCATTTTAAAGGTTGGCGTGGTCTTCCATTTGTGTTCAGAATAATAGCAGGGTGTTGGAAAAAAAAAATGATTGAAGACAGAAGATTGGATTCAACAATTCCTCTGCATTTCTTGAAGATGCATACGTGAAGCCGAGCTATACTGGCACGAAGCCACCCCAAGTCCCATGGCTGAATCAAATGAAATGTGTTGAGGAGGTTACCCATTTGTCAAAAAAAACACATTGACTGGCCTAAAGAGAAATGGTGCACGTTTTTGTGGAAAGATGAAAGCGAGATTGTTCTTTTCCGATCTCAGTCCACAGACAGTACGCCCAACCTTCCCCCCACCAAAAAAAAATAAAATGAAGGAGTACACTGAAGTACACAAGGGACACTTCCCATACTCTGGTGTTGGGCCTGTTTGTTATAGTCGTACCCAGACAGATCTCTAGACCCTAATCCAAGAATAACCTTGTGTCAAAAATACAGTTTGGGAGGCCAAACTAAGAAATGAAGAGGAAGTGTGGAACGCACACACCCAAAGCACCGCAAAGCATTTATAAACAGAAACCATGCTTATGTGACCTAACCCAGCGGAAATAGATGCACATTATATCTTAATGTTGCCCATCATCACATTAGTTCTGAACTGCATAATCAAAATATATTAATAAACAGTTTGATAGGGTTTTCAAAATGACCATAGGCATGGGCCATTCCTTCCCCCGATTTCTAGTGATGATGTATTGTTACACATGTTCCTTTAATGATAAGGAGCCGAGAATCTGCTATCTGATCCTCGACATTAGAAAGGCATTAATTGCTGGTACCTCATTTTCCCTCTATAGGAGATGCAATTATGGTGACTTTATCCTCCCACCAGTCACATTGTTTGGTGTCAAGCAGGTGTTGTACAAATAGGAATTAGTGTCTGCTTAATATTCATTATTTATGGCTGTAATTTCCACCCATTTGCATGTGATTGCTTAATGAAATAAGATTTTCCATATGCAGTCATGGTTCGAGATGACTGAGCAATGCACCAAGTGAATGGAATCGGGGCCGCTGCCCGTTGAGCTGGAATGAAGTGAGAGAACATTACATCTGTCAAGCTGCACAAAGCAGCCATACGCTTTAAACAGAGTGGAAAGATAATATAGTGAAGCCTATCCCACGCCCTGCTGAAAATAATTAATCCAGTTCGCACGCTTTCGGGAGCGCAAGAGATGTGCAGGGTGCATCAAAATCATTTTGTTTTCTACCTGAATGACTGTTGCATTCGCATCTGTGTGTGTTTGCGATGATCAGTGTGACCATGTACATGACCTTAATTAAAACCTCTCTAATTACTGTGTGCGTGTATATGTGTGTGCTTGTTACCCACCAGTCAAATGTGCCATCCTGTCATGCATGCTTGTGTGTACAGTATTTGATTTATGTGGTTTCAGGAACACAAGCAAGCACGTGCTGCCATTCTGTTTTCGTAGAACTCCTCAGTATCTTTAAAAAAAAACAAACAAACAAGAAAACGATAACATACAGGTTAGTACACTACCCCAGTATGTCGAAATTTTTTAATCCAAACTGAATATAAATGCTGTTACATCAATTGTTAAATATAATGTTAATAAGAAAACAGAAAATACATCAAAGCTTGTGATTAGTGGTTGATGTCAAAATATCCAATAGTTATGTACAGCACTTGCACTCCTGAACATGCAAAGTGTGGTTTATTTGTTAAATGTTGTTCTTGTCTAATTTATCATTCCAAGTGTATTATTTATTGATTATGAAATGCATTTTGGTTACAAAAAAAAGGTGTTTTCAGTTTGAAACACCTTATTCATCCACATGATTCTGGATGGAGTCTTGTGACAGGTCATCTAATAACCTGCACACAGGTATTTCTAAAGCGCATGTTGAGCTTCAATATGAAGGGATGACATATAGAGAATGGCTTTTTTCTATTTCAGTGGGCCAAAACTTGCAATTTGGACACAACTCTCATTTGGAATTCAGCCTGGCATGCAGCAAAGTATTCCCTTGGGGAATCCCTCCCAGAAATTCAGTCCCCTGTGAGCTATCCAATTAATGGTGACAAAGAAAAAAGCAATTTCGAGGCATAAAAAGAAAACAAACGAGAAAGATGGGACAGGAAATCGTGCGACTGCAACGATCAAATGGAAGAGAAGTGAGAGAGTGATGAACATTTTGAACTCAAGTGTTTTAATCAGGCCTTAACAAGGCAGCGTGGGTCACCGGTTCCACCCGGCCCTCACAACACAGACAAAAATGTACTTGTACTTGGTACTTGTCGCTTATGGTCCTGGTGAAAGTATAACGAATGGCAGAAATCTGATACTTTGTTCATTGAGTTGTGTACCTTGGTTGAGAATGAACATTAATTGTAAACTTACTGAGGCAGTTATTCTAATGACCCCTCTGTGTCTCTCTTTGCAGGACGGTCCATTGATCATGCAGTCGGATAGAAATGTGACTATCAATGCTCGGACCGATGACGGACAACTGACTGGTCAACTTACAGTGGGTAAGGCACACACGCACACACACGCACGCACGCACACAAAACACATGATGTGAAGAGGGGGAAAAAAACACATAAAAGAAAATAGATCATTTCTCAAAGGACATTAAGTTATATTGCTTTGTTTTTGCTTCACTTCCTAAATGCGTTTTACCCCCCTCTGTTTACTAAACTAAATACTATCTGTTTCCATTAGGCTTTCTCACTGAGCCTTGAAAGCAATTTTTTTTCTTTGACCGAATCATTTTTATCTGCTCTAATTGGATTAGTGAAAGCCTATTGTTCTTCGGAAGATATAATTCGCAGCATTTGTGGCGTGTATGACGTCTTCCTATAGAATTCAATAACCCAGGCAAGCATGCAAGGACTTTCAAACAAATCTGTTATGAAAGTTGCATGCTGTAATGGTTTAGATGACAGATGTGTCTGCCCAACATATGACTCATTCTCATTCATCCAGCAGTCGGGAGCGATCGGCGTTATGTGTTTAAATGTCTCAGTTCGCGATGGGAATTTGCCAGCTAATGTCTGCACATTTTTCTGGTTGACGGATTGGAGAGATGTAAATGAAAGTTACCAGTAGTGTTTGAATTTAATGACTTAGAAAGGTAAGCCTTCTAATATCGTGCGAAAATGGTCAACAGAGATGAGCTAATTATGAGACTTCAACAACAGTCGCGTTATGATTAATGTGCCGCCAATTGCGCCTTGTTTACGGCCATCAAGCCATGTGTGTGTGTGTGTGTGCGTGTGGCTGTGTTATTGACTGCGTGTGTGTCGGTGTGCGTGTGCACGCGTTTGTGTATGCGTGAGTGAAAATGAGCAATCTGAAAATATGATGAAAATGATTATTCAGTCCATCGATCGCTTGGGATGTAAATATTTGAATGACAGTGTTTTACGGTGGTTTCGGAAAAAAGGTCTATTGCAGGGGTCCATGGGCACCACGTAGCCCGTCAGGACCACACCAATAGCCCGGCAGTGCTAGGATTGTGATTTGCTTGTAGAAATTATGATTTCAAAATGCAAACACTGGCAGTATTGTGAGACATCTTTAAGATGATCAGAGCCTGAAAATTAAAATCATGAAGTATTAAAAATCAATAATAATAATAATATTATTAAATGTAATATGTAGAAATGTTATTTCTGACGTGTATCAATTTGGTAGCCCTTCACACAATCAGGACACATGAAGTAGCTCTCACTCTCAAAAAGGTTGGTGACCCCTGGTCGATTGAATAATCTTGGTCATGTATTTATCCTTTTGTTTTCTTTTTCTTTTTTTTTTACCATCATGGGACATTAAATAAGCTATACAACCATATTATTCTACTGTCAGTTATTCTAAAAACTACTTATAGAGATGACTAGCCGTGGATTTTTACTTCCGACAACTTCCCTGCTGCGCTTGCCGCTCAGTCTCTGTTTCACAGAAAGCAGCAAGTCGCAGCAATATGAGCTCTATGATTAAAAGAAAAAAAAAACATAAAAAAAAAAGTCTGAAGGGTTATAGTTAGTTGTTACTGCATTGGCACCCTGACATGTTTTGCTCTTGACACATGAATTTGCACCATGGGAGTTTAAGTGCAGAACCGAGCAGAGGATTTTTTTTTTTTTTTTTTAATGTCACACACACATTTGAAAACACGCCAAAGGTGGAGAGGAAGTCACATATGAACAAGTAATAACTGTCAACCTCAAGTCTTTACTTTTAAGTTTCAAGCAAGTCCCAAGTTACTGTGGTTGTCGGTGTAATGAAAGCCAAGCTGATCATTGCCTCAACATTTTATAGGGCCTCTAAAACTGCTTTTTTTGCAACAAAAGAAATATTTCTTTTTTTTTGGGGGGGGGGGCTCGCTCATTCTTGTTCATAGGGGAATTACGAGAATGCCACATGCACATTGTCAAGATGAACTTAATGGGACTCCCACACAAAACGAGATGGTGCATCTCAAGGGGTTCATCCTGTTTAACACCTGTGAACTTTTTGGAATTGTGCAAAAATAAGTCTGTGCCTTTTAAAATATAGAAGAGAGTACTGTCGACATTTGGGGATTTGGTGTGGTTTGTTGTTGGAGAGGTTGGTTGGAGCGCCGCACAAGACAGCGATGACGTAATAACTGAACCGAACATTGCAATAAAAGAGCGCATGTACTGTAAGGGATTGGAACTAAAATGCAGTTAGGCTGTTTGCGGTTAGTTTACATCTTTCTAGTGAGCGTGCTCATGACATTCGAGAAGTTCAGTAGCAGCCTGGAGGCCTTTCAAACATTTCATCGCGATGCTGTAACAGGAGACACAAACCGCACCATACAGCGTGATGGAATGCATACTTAGATGATCATAAAAGCAATACATTGGAAAATATGAGGTGAAATTAACTTTGGCTTTATCCCCAAGACTGCAAGAATAAAAATATGTAAAAATATACCAAGGTAAAAAAAAAAGATGAAGTAATTGTCAACAGCCAATTACTTCATCTGTTTTATGAGCAATATACAATTACTAAATATGATGAGCTGTGCTTTGTAAAATAAGGTACAGCATACATAAAGTGTTATACGGCGAGTATAACCAGAGCACACCTGGCACCGAGAAAATCAATGAGTAGACTTCTTTGCCCGTGGTATCATGAAATTTTCCAAACATGAAAACATCAGCCAGAAATTTGAATTATTTTCGAACCAATGAGGTTTTGTTTTCTTCTTTATGTCACCTGCGATCAAATGTAAGGAGTTTTCCAACTGCAATCTTCTCATCTTTTGAGGATGCTTCTGAATTATTACCAGTCCGCGAAAGGCATATACTCATTTGAGCCGATCTGTGGCGCAAAAAAAAAAAAAAAAAAAAAAAAGGTCGAGGACCACTGCTATCATGTCTTTACATGTCAGCTATATTCATAAGCTGACCAGGCATTTCCACGTCCACGCATGTACAGCCTTGCCTTCTCGCAGACTTTGAAGGTAGCAAATCCCTGACAGCTCCCTTCCGACTGTTAAAGCTCCCCAAAGCAGCTTTCCTCACCATGAAACCCACTTTAACGCTGATGTATGTGAGTGTGCCGGCATGCCTATCTTGGAGTAGGCAGAATCAGTCTGTAAAATTGGTTAGCCAGACTGTCTGCAGTCAATTTAGTCAGGCCGCCAGAGGATGACATGAACTGTGTTGCATGACCTACCTTGTGTAGTAACACACACACACACACACACACACACACACACACACACACACACACACACACACACACACACACACACACACACACACACAAAAACACTTTGGAACACGCCAAGCACAAGTTAGGAATTTCTCCTGAATACAAATGCCTTTACAGACACATTAAGATGCAATCCACAGAAACCATGTGACAACTGTCTTCACATGGCTACTCTGAGTTCCCACACACACACACACACACACACACACACACACACACACACACACACACACACACACACACACACACACATGCTTGCTTTAGAGGTCTAAGTATCTCCTTGATAAGACGGAATGGAAAAGAATGAATTCTCCAGAGGATGATCTGGAAACCCCTGGGTCTTAGCCCGCCACTGCTTCCTGCTGCGTTTGTGCTGACTCCGCAACACATGTATGTCTCTTTCTCTCTCAGATACACACAAAAAACAATTGATAGAGAACCCTTCCCTTTAGGAATACTGTAGCCCCACCAAAAAAATGAAGACACTTTTATCACATCTGAAGTATACATTTTTCACCTCGGTAAAACCCGGATCTGTATTCCTTCACGATAGGGAAAACAACTGTTGCTTACACAAAAGCTACAATATCATACGTCACCGGAATGGATAGGTGAAATACATTTAAGGTCCATAAAAGTTTGGATTTAAGCAGAAACGGATAATGGGGAACTGTATCATAACACGGCTCAAGAAATAGAATAAATAAATCAATTCAACCAGTTGTATTGTCTATATTGGGTCACCGTAAGCCCAGTGAATCCTGCCAGTACATTTTATACTGTTGGAAATCCTGTTTATTTCCATTTTAAAAGATGTTGCATTTAATCCTGTAGATTTCCATTTTCAATGATGCTCTACCATTGTGAAGAATTTGCACCGTTTACGCATTTACTCAGTTGTGCTGATCATCCCACGACGAGCAGGTTCCTTTCGAATGGGCAATCATTTCAATTCGAAATTAACCAGATTCCCAATCGTTTAAAATTTCTTGGCAACAAGCGTTTATACTGATTGATATTTAAAAATGTGATTAGCACAAGTACTGTGCCCATTTTTATTGCTTGAACATTGGAGCTGCCGTTCTGCTCATGCTCCTGTCTCTGTTGTTTGAATTAACAAAATTTGGTGCTTGTATGATTTTTTTTAAAACTCTGACTGAATACTGATGTCTGAAACCCAGTCGTGTTATTTTGGCATGTTCAGCATCCAAAAGGTGCGTTTCTTGGAGGAAAGCCACCTCCACTCCTTTTTTTTTAATCAAACTTTCTTAATACTTTATTAACATAATAATTCCATGATCACACTTGGTAAAGTGGGCAAACTGTTGAAACCCTTCACCCCCTCTTTCAGTCTTTGTACGTCGCCAGATCCTCAGCGGTCAATGCAGATCTTCTATGTGCTAAAAGACAAAAAAATATTCGCGCATTTACAAGCTGAAAAGACTTTCAATGGAATTACTGACAGATACACTGAAAAAAAATTAATTGTCAAACTCCTCAATTATGTCAAGTGGTTGCACGGAATAAAATCATCTAGATCTGGAAGTAGACTTTATATATGCACTTAAAAAATGTATCTGGACCCAGATGACTTTATTTTGTGCAGCCGCTTGATGAAATAAAGTGGAGTAAATTCAACCCCATTTTGTTTTTGAATGTAGCAACCACCTCCAACATCTCTGAAACAACTTCTTGTAGAATAATTCACTGAAAGAAGCATCATCGTTACCCGGGGTGCAGAGGCAGACCTACATAACCAAATGACAAACTTACATCATCTAAA